CGTCACGTTCACGGAGGAGAGCCCAGCCGCCCGGGGCAGCAGACGGATGGCACAGCGTGGCACCTCGCTCGGCACAGGAAGGAGGGCAACGGAGACACCTCGATGCCCAGACGCAGCTGCCGCGGAGCCCAGACCCTCTCCTTGCATCTTACTTGCCCTTTAAGATTGGCTGTGGTGGCCGAAACCGGTCTGGCTCAGTGGATAGAGCGTCAGCCTGCAGACTGAAAGGTCCCAGGTTCGATTCCAGTCAAGGGCATGTACCTTGGTTGCGGGCACATCCCCAATAGGGGCTGTGCAAGAGGCAGCTGATCAATGATTCTCTCTCGTCGATGTTTCTAACTCTCTATCCCTCTCTCTTCCTCTCTGTAAAAAAATCAATAAATTAAAAAAAAAAAAAATGATTGGCTGTGGTGGGTACGGCTGTGCTGTTCCCGTCACTGGTGGCCAGGGCGCCCTAAATGGGACTGACAGGTGGCTTTTCAGCCATCGCCGGGGTGGGAGTCTGTGGCCAGCTCTTTTCTGAGAACAGAAGAAAAAGAATGTACGTGAAGACCTGGTTTGGGGGTAACACCCCAGGCAGGGGCAGTCCTCGCCCTCCGTAGGTTCTGGCTGACCAGCACCCGTGTCACACACTGTGGGCGTGGGTACCCCCGAGCCCAGGACAGCGCCCAGCACATGTCAGAAATGCAAGCAGCTGTGGATGTGCCAGCGGCGGGCACTGAGCAGAGGCATGTTCGGGGATGTGGGCGGGGTCCCTGGGGCCATGTCTGTGTGTTGTCATCGGGGAGTCAGGGCTCTTGCCGTCCACCTTGGCCACCCGGGTGAGGGAGGAGATGGGGCAGCGAGCTGGTTAGGCCCCTGTGGGGAGCCGTGGACGGAGCACCTCAGTGTCCGTGGTGCTTAGAAGACAGGACTGGGGTGACTGCTGTGTCCCGCCTTCACTGGCAGCAGGTGGCCTGTCCCCACCCCAGCCCTGTCATGCCCGGCCCACTGAAGTCAAGGTGGGCTTGTTCCTGGAGGAGGAGACAGCCTTTCCTCATGGAGAAGTAAGAGCGGAAGGCCAGTGCACCCATCCTAACCTCGTCAACTTACATCAAACAGCCAGGCCCCCAGGCAGACACTGTGTCCAGCTGGCAGTTTGCTAACATCCTCGGCACCTGAGTCACCGGCTCCCCCAGCGTCTAACACACGTGTGTCAAACACAAGGCCCGCGGGCCAAATCCGTCCCGCCAGGCCTTGCAATGTGGCCCGCACTGCGCTGTCATCACTGCACTCCGCTGCGTTTCCATCCAAACAATGACAGTTTATGACTGTTTAGTAAACCATTCGGCCGTGATTTAGGCTGGATTTTAGATTTTGGCCCCTTCTCTGATTGAGTTCGACACCCCTAGTCTAACACGTGGCACAGATGTGAAACAACCCGGCTGCTGCCCCTTCAGAACCCGCTCAGCGCCGAGTCTCACAAAAAGAATACTGCAGCCTGGCCGGTGTGGCCCAGTGGTTGAGCACTGACTTACGAACCAGCAGGTCATGGCTGGATTCCCAGTCAGGGCACATGCCCAGGTTGTGGGCTCAGTCCCCTGTGTGGGACATGCAGGAGGCAGCCGATCCATGGTTCTCTCATCGTTGATGTTTCTATGTCTCTCCCCCTTCCTCTCTGAAATCAGTGAAAATGTATTTAAAACAAGACACTGTAGAGGCCTTTGTGTAAACACCCCCTTCGCTAGGGCAGCCGGTAGAGTCCGGGTGCGTCCCTGTTCCTATGACAGCACCTGCTTCCTCGGGGGTCAGGCCGGAGAAGGCAGGCCAGTAACACGCCCTGGACTTCATCTCGCCAGGAACCCGGCTCAGAAGAGCCCATTTTGGGATAAAATTCCCCTTTCCTTTTTTCCGGATAATTTTCAAGAACACCAGTTCTGGTCCTTTCCAAGTCCAAGGAGCTCCGGTGGGATTTCCTGCTTGTAAGATTGCCGATGACCAAAAGAAGACACGGCGTTTCTCGCCCTTTCTGTACGGAAAAGCACCGTTTCTCCGGCCGCGTTCCTGGGTCCGCCTGACACCTCGGCGCCAGGGGGGTGGCGTCTCCCAAACCCGCTGTGAAGCGGCAACGATGAGGGCAGATCTCGCTGCTCTAGGGGCTGCCAGGTGGACAGTCAGGTAGAGGAGGGTGTGTTTGGAGGTGCTGTAAGATTTACTTGAAATTTTAAGCCAAGAAGTTCAAAAGTGCCTGGTGGATGGTTCTTCATACTTTAAAACCAGGTGGGTATGCGCTTCAGCTTCATCTAAATAACAAATACATATTTTCAGGGTGGAGCTGTCTGCCCAGTCCCAATGAGGCAGATGCGCCGGGTGCCTTGGCAGGCACTTTGTCTGAGCGCACGCCTGCAAGGAGCCGGGGAGGCCACAGCACCTCCACTGCGGGGGTGTCCACAGCACCTGCCCTGTGGAGTTTGGCCTAAACCCCGCCCAGTAACCTCCCTGGTAACTCACACGGAAGAACCTGAGTTTTGAGAGCATTACACATATACATACACACACATCCATGTATACATCTGTACCTCTATGTATACATGTATAAAACAGATGTATGATACACCACAAGGATGCCAGGACCCAGGCCAAGGAAAGCGACTCCGTGGGGAAGAGGACATTGGAGGCTGTTAGTCTGAGCTGATGCGTGACATGGAGTCAGCACCCTCCAGCCTACAGGTCCTGCCCCGAGCGCTGAGCACAGCCTGCTCTGCCTTCTCTGTTCCTAAGGGAAGCAGCAATGGGGACAGCTGTGCTTGAAGGGGCTGCGGCCCAGGCTTTTCCAGCTAAAGCAGCTCCTTCGTGCTTTCCTCCTGCATCTGGACCTGCGTTCAGAGCCAGTCCTGCAGCACCTCTCCCAACGGCCTGCCCTTCCTACCCTCCTGTACACGCAGGGCCGTCCCGTCCCCACCCCACTGCTCACAAATGGCGCCCGAAGGCCCAGCTGCCGCCTCCTCCGGTGCCCCCTCTCCCAAGTGCCACAGGGCCCAGTGCCCATCACGAAGCACGGCGCACTCCACTCCAGTTATGGTTACGTGTCCGAACGGCTGCCTCATCAGCAAGGGCTTCTCAGGAATCTGAAAAGCCCACAGGCCCTGGCAGCGCACCAAGAACACAATGTTGGAGTCCGGGCCTCAAGTGCCTTCGTGGATGGGCAGGTGCGAGCCGCCTGCCTGCAGTTTTGGGGGCGGGGGATTTTCCTCCCCACCCCCAGCCTCACTAAGATTTTCCGCCTCCCGGGAGCCGCTCAGCCGGAGAGACCATTGTAGCCAGCGTTTACTGGATGCTCAGCAGGCAGGCACGGAGCCGGAAGCTCTAGCATGCATTACCTCATCTGGTCCTCCTGGCCCCACAGGACCAGAGGGAGGAAGTGTGGACCCTCAAGGCCTGTCCCAGGTCCCGCGGCCAGGAGAGCACAGGGCAGTCTGAACGTGCACTCAGCCAGGGGACTGCCTCCCCCTCTGTAAAATGATGAATAAAACAAAGCATGCGCCGATTTAGAATACCCAGCTGGCCCCAGGCCGGCGGCCTGTCCAGGTCCAGGCGGCCAGTTCGGCCCTCCACCATCCGCTCACACTCCCTGGGTGAGACCTGCCCTCTCACATCCTGAGGCGGCTCCATTCCTCCTTCAAATACAGGGTGACAGGCCTGGGGTCCTGGGCTTCCTCACTCTGGCCCAGGTACACCGGGACCTGCGCTGCAGCTTCATCTAAATAACAAATCCACGAGTGCATTTAAATACAACTTGAGCACCTCAAATTCAATTTACACACAGTTTTAGGAATATATTAGATGAGGTGCCGCTGATTAAAATAGGGTGACCTTTAATGAGGTTATCGGATTCTATTCCAGACTCACCTGAAACTGACTTTTAACTAAAAGGGAGCCAGATCCTTGGGTTAGGTTATCGGCTATACCCTATTAAACACACTCATTCTCCAGATCAATAATATGAACATGGTATAATATATGCCATAAAAAGCATCTCACCGGAGCGTCTCAGCACTTTTTCTGAAACTCACCCCCAAACCACCACCACCATGTAAATCCCTGACGTTCTTTACAGTCAACACAGTGCTGTTCTGGTGCTTTCTTTGGCTTGGTTTTTCTTTTTTTAAATCTGTCACTTTAATATGTACATATGAACCTCCAAAAAAGCATGGTTTAGAGAAAAGGAATCCCTCATTTTTTAAGTGACGGTTTAACTTAGCAGAACTACCGGTACAGGAACCTGAGGATATACTGTGTCTCAGACCACCTCTCAAAAATAATGACAGACCAATCTTCCAGTGAGCTCTTCCTCGAAGCTAAGGGCCTGGCAACCCTCATCTGCCAGCTGGTGTTCCCAGGAGCGCCCTTCTTATGTCACCAACTCGGGGACTGTTGTCCGCTGGGACTGTAACGCAGAATCCCTCTTTGGCCCATAACCTCAGTAAGCAGACCCCGTGGACAGGGAGTGCAAGGGCAGAACTGTCTCCACGTCTGACCCGCACAGATACGGAAGCAGGTGCGCAGCACAGCGAAGCAGTGTATCTGCAGCGTCTTCTCACAGGAGAAGGGCGGAGACCACCCTGAGAAGACCTACATGCTGCCATGTTCACCAGGACGGCATCCTCAAATTAGAATGTGCTTAAAGGGACAGCAGAGTCCATGTGAAGTTCACAGTGAAGACTGGCTTCTAATCGGAAAACTGGTGGCTTTCTAGGGATGTATGTCCCCACCCGGACGCCATCCCAAGCCTTTACTTCCCTTAGAACTTAGTGTCCTCCCCGTGTTCCTGCCTCTCAGGCTCTGTCTGGAGCACTTGGCAGCTGGTGAGGCTGGGCACAGGCCTCCATCGCCTCTGAAACCCCGGCAGGGCAGGCAGCACAGTATGGCACTGCTCAGCCTAAATCCCTGCCTGGTGGTTTGCATAAAAGCTCGATTCAAAGAGCCTGTCCCACTCCAAAGAAAAGGAACAGACAAATGTATTAATCACATTTTCCTTTTAATAAAGGCTTTTTACTCAAAAGTGTAGCTTTGAAAATCTCTAGCTTGTTGTGAAAACCAGAAGCGCCAGGAAGCCACTTCACTCTGAACCTGGGCGCGGAAAACATGGCCGCTGGGTCTGCAAACTCCGCTCCCAGCACTGGAAATCAAATGCATCACTTTAAGCGCAGGGCCAACATTTGAAACTAGGAATGATGCATGTCCTACGTTGATTCAAGGAGAAAGGACACATTCTTAATACAGTAAACAAAACACAAAAAGTAAACAAATCTTTAGAAATCACTAGGTGTGTGTGTGTAATTATATAATTAGGGTTATCCTCAACATTTAAAACTAATAAAAAATAAGGTTGCCACCTTACTTCCTCTTTTGGTAATGGAGTGTTACATTTTTAGGGGAAAAAAGATTCTGCACAGACAAGTTTCCAAACCTCAAGCCCGTTCTTGGCTGTACAACTGCACCCCCTTCCCGCACGGAGCCCCCAGCCCCCAACCTGTCCCGTTTGGCAGGAGGCAGAGCGCCTTCATTCTGGCTGTCACGATGACAGGCCCACAAAAGCACAGCTGAGAGAGGAGCTAATTCTTCCCCAGGAAGAAAACACTTTGCCCACAATGGCTCTGCACCATCTTCCACGCTCCTCTCTGCCCCCTTTGCTGTCATGGTTTGATAACTTGTTTTTGCCTAAAAGCAAGATGGCAATCTTAATCAAAAGGGGAAGCTAGATTTTTTAAATAACTTAAAAAATTATTTTTATATAAAGCAGCAAAAACACTTTCCTCTCTGCAGAAAAGAAAAGAAAAGAAAAAAAACCACAACAAAAACGTGAAACCAGGGAGCACAGCGATGCCAGGGACTGTCCGTAACCCGAACGAGCTCAGGCAGAGCGCCCTCAGAGCTGCTCACCGACTCCCTCGGGGCTCTCCAAGGGCTCTTTGGCGTCTTCGGTCGCTCTTTTCCTTTCCTCTGGATCTAAACTTTCCTTTTCTAACCTGGTCCCGTTGGGAATAGAGTTCTGGCCACTCATGGGCCCGTTTTCCGCAGCCTTTGCTCGGCTGACCACCTCGGAGAGGGTGAGGGCCTCCTGCACGCCAGCCTCCTCCTCCAGGCTGCGCAGGACCAGCGGCAGCCTCGAGTCCGCCCCACCGCCCTCCAGCAGCCCTGGGTTACTCTCCTCATACTTGGGCAGCGGCGCCCCCTCCTCCATTTGCTTGCGGTAATACTCCCGGTTGGCAGCTGCACTCTTCACTGCCTTTTCCAAAATCTCTTTTTCACCCAAGCGCAACTTGATGGCCATTCTTGCACGAACAGAAAGGTCATGGTTTTTCAAGAAGGACTTGTCTTCCTAGGAAATGGAAAAGAGCACAATTAATCGCAAGAAGTTTAAATCCAGCAAAACTACAGAGATAGAATGCAGATCAGCTGTTGCTGGGGGTGTGGGGCATGAGGGACATTTTGGGGGTGACATGGGTTTTAGAACTTGACTGGAGGTGGCTGCACAATGGTATACTCACATTATAATGTACACTTCAGCAGTGTGACTGTGCTGTGTGTAAACTATCTGTATATATATATAAAAGGCTAATATGCTCAGTGTACGATCCTGACTGATTGCTATGACGCGTACTGACCACCAGGGGGCAGACGCTCAATGCAGGAGCTGCTGAGCTGCAGTGACTTCACAGTGGTGGTTCTCGGTGATGCACCCCAAAATCAGAGAGGAGGGAGCCCAATTCTTTGTGGGGTCTGATGATTCCATCTTTGGCCATGGGCTATGTTGTTGCTGGAGCACTGTCGGCAGGAATCTGGTTTACTGCACACTTGCCTTTGTGTTCCACACTGTACAGCAACTTTGCAGAGTACCCTCGCGCACTCTGGGACCCCTCGGGGGATGTTGGAGAGACAATTTCAGCCCAATCCCCACAGGCCAGGCTGAGGGACCCCACCTTCCGGATGGACCCCATTCATTCTGCAGATGCCCTTCGAGCCACATCGACACCCCAGGTGCAGGTGGCCAGGGAGGGACCATGGGAGGTTGGCTCCAGGGCATGTCTGGCCCATCTCACCCAGTCCCGCCCCACCAGCCACCTTCTAATTAATTTCCTTTCAATGTGCACAAATCCATGCACCGGGTCACTAGTGCCTCAATGAAGCAGTCATAAAACAAAAATGAGGCCTAACTCAAATGGTGCTTTAACACATGGGACAGAGAACCTTTTAAAAGGAAGTGAGGTTTAAAAGGTTCTCTGGCCCTGACTGGTTTGGCTCAGTGGATAGTGTGTCAGCCTGCAGACTCACAGGTCCCAGATTCCATTCTGGTTGGGGGCATGTGCCTTGGTTGCGGCACATCCCCAGTGGGAGGTGTGCAGGAGGCGGCTGATTGATGTTTCTCTCTCATCAATGTTTCTGGCTCTCTCTCCCTCTCCCTTCCTCTCTGTAAAAAATTAATAAAATATATTAAAAATAAATAGATAAGATAGATAGTTAAAAATAAAAGGTTCTCTGGTCTTGTGCAGGAATGGGCCCAGGGCTCAGCCCTTGGCTGAATGAATAGGTGGATGAATGAATGAGAAACACTTTGAGTTAGTGCCTCAATAGCCAACTCGGAAAGCACAGGTGAGAGCTTCTAGCTGTTGTATCGTGTGAAGTAGAAATTACAGAGAAGAATCAAATCATGCAAACATATTTTCTAATCAACAATGCCTCAATATGATTTTAGTGAGTGCAAACATGTTAAATAGGAGAAAAGAATTATAGCAATTTACATGTAGGAAGGAATCTCTTATTAAGCATATTTTAAAACATGACAAAGCTCAAATCCTCATTCAATCAAGTTACCTCACTGGTTGTCTTATATGTTTTTAAAAGAAGTGAGGCTCGATCTTCAAGAAATGTCCAGAGTTTGACCTCGTTGTCCCAGCTCACAGGGTACTCCGAATTACCCAAGGTGAAAATTTTGTCGATAGCATTATCTCCTAGCAAATGTTCCTTCAGTTCTTCTACGAGAAGCACAAACAGCCATCTGTTAGCAGGAACAGCACTCCTCAAACAAGCAATCCACCTTACAAAAAAGCTTCTCCAAAGACAAAGCTTTCCTGCAACTCGTCAGCCAGGCCATGTCTAGGCTCACCGGAGTGAGTGGGAGCTGAGTGTTGGGCAGGAAATCAAGGGGAGGGCTTCCAGCTGGGTCCGCAGGAAGCCTCCGTCTTCCTGGTGTTTCTGAGGGGCACTAAGAGCTCTAGGCAGGCTTCGGAGATAGTTTTAAAGACAATCTATAGCGGCATATGGACAACACCCTCCCTATAGCCGTTAGCTCCATCATACCAACCGGACAAAAAGACATTTAGGTGAACAACGTAAAGAGTGGAAACAAACAGCATCAGAACACTTGGCGAGCCTTTGAAATTATATCTGATCAGGGCTATGCCAATAGTTGATCTGGCCAAGCTATTTAGCCCTACTTACAACAAGCCACAAACCTAAGAAAAACAAGAAAACAGACTAGAAACTTTAGTTAATGAAAAACGTGCAGATGTCCACTTGTCAGGAATTTAAGTAGCAATTACAAATAAACGCAAGTGAACATCTCAATTTCCTTCAACTATATTTAAGAGGAAAGGACTCAACAACTGCTCAGAGCAGCTTCTCTCTTGGCACATTATCTTCAAAAGACCAAAACATGCTGTCCTATTCATGCTCAAGAAACCCACCGGCTCCTTATGCAATTATAAGACAGGATCTCTTTCAGAGCAAAATGCCCCGCAGCTGTCACTGTTTACAATTCAAATGCAAGGACTTCTGTTGCCAGCAAACCAAACTTTTATCAGTATTAAGAGTAATTCCAAGGATACATCAATTGTCTTGACATGACAAACTGTCTGACTAAAGAGAAATGGAAAAAAAATCACATCCAATCTAAAATGATTCAAGTAGTTCCTCTTTTTAAACAAGACAGAAGCTAATATAATATTCAAAAAAGAAATTCATTAAGTCACCTTTATTAGAAGATTGAGAACATTTGGGTTTTTAGATTTTCGATCCTTCAGTTTATATTCTTTTATAAAGTAACCAGAGGCCCAGGGCATGAAATTCATGCACAGGGGGAAGGAGGTCCCCTCAGCCCAGTCTGCACCCTCTCCAATCTGGGACCACCTCAAGGGATGTCCGACTGCCCATTTGGGATCAGGTCTATATGGGCAGTTGGACATCTCTCTCACAATTCAGGACTGTTGGCTCCCAACCGCTCGCTTGCCTGCCTGCCTGCCAGCCTGATCAGCCCTTAACCACTCCCCAGCCGGCCTGATCAATGCCTAACTGCCCTCCCCTGCAGGCCTGGTCACCCCCAACTGCCTTCCCCTGCAGGTCTGATCACCCACAACTGTCCTCCCCTGCTGGCCATCTTGTGGCAGCCATCTTTTGTCCACATGGGGGCTGCCATTTTGTGTGTTGGAGTGATGGTCAATTTACACATTACCTCTTTATTATATAGGATGGAAAGTATTAAAAATGTTCCTTTAGTGGTTCTTTTTGGAAGCCCCCAATACTGAGGTTACTGTTTTCATGTTTTTCCTTGACCGACCCATGCTACACCTCCGTGCGGGTGAGCTGAGGAGCTCGGCCTTCTCTCTCCGCCCCTTCCGAACAGGGAGATTGCACTCATTCCCCATTACTGGCGGGGCCAATGCCGCACAAGGGGAAAAGAGGCAGTCACCAGGAGAGGGACCAGGAACACTCAAGAAAGGAACCCAAGGCTCGTGCAGTGGGCTGCCTTCCCGGGCTTTCCCGTTAACAGATGCTGGAGCCAGCCCTGTCCTCAGGGCGTTCCTCAGCTTCAGCTGTCACTACAGGAGAGAGCATCTGATCACCCGAGGTGGCTGGCACCTCGCTCCTCAGCCTGGCTCCACCAGCCCTGGGGGACCAGGATCTCTTCTGTGGATCATGTCATTTGCACACCAATAGCACCATGTGGGATGCCTAGTGCGGGCTCTGGAATTAGCCGAGTCAGGCTCATCACCTGCTGGCAGAGTGGCCAAGGCCCCCGTCCTCTGGGAACTGGTGTCTACATCAGGCCTGTGGGAACCCCTCTCTCACCAGGTGACAGCGATTAGCATAAAGTATGAGGCACACTTAAGTGTCGCGTGGGGCACGCAGTGGGTCATCATGACCATCACCTCTTCATTATAAATGCCTTCAGCATATAAACTGTGAACTGAACTCTGTGCCCTTATATTACATGCAAGAAAAGCCCACAGTTAACCCCTCACTTGGCTCATTAAACAGAACTGATGAACCCCTGCCTAAGCACCGTTACCTCAAGCTCTCTCCTGAGTGACGGTGAGGCTGTGCGAGAGAGACAAGTGCCACCCAGCGGCTTGGCAGGTCCTTAGTTGGTGTCTAAATGGCCCCTCTGTGTAGGACTAAGTGTCCCCTACCTCCATCCTGGGGAGGGCCTGGTCCAGGCAGCACTTCTCCGGGACCCAGACATGAAGTCAAGGAGCTGGGGATGGGTCCCCAATGCCCTTCCCAGGCAGCTGTGGGCAGGACACTCACTTGTCTGTTCAATTAGACGGCCATTTGCTCGCTCGCTCCCTCACTCCCTCGCTCACCCCCTCCTACAGCTGTTTTGCACACATGGGGTTTAAGGGAGTTGACAAGAACAGCAAACACACACAATTAAAAATGAAGCCTCAGTACCCGAGGATGTGCAGCAGTTTTAAAGAAAAAAAAAAAAAAAAAAAAACAGAAAAAAAAAAAACGAAAAAAAAAAACAATCACACCACGTCTCAGTAAGAACCCCCAAAGACGGTCTTCAGCAAACATTAACTAGATTCTCAATACATATATATATTTAACTCTTGCCGTGACGGAGGATGGAGGTGGAGGTGAGCACATTCTGTGGCTGAAGCAGACGGTTTGCAGCGGTATTTATTCTAACCCGACGCCCAGAATTGAAAGGCCGCTGGTGACGCCAGGTCAGAGCCCAGAGCTGGCTAACAAAGGCAGCCCTGTGGCCCGCGGAGGCCGCTGCTGCCCAGTGACTTCACTGTGGACTCAGCGCTAACTGCTCTGGCAGCCGAGAGCAGCACACGGCAGGGAAACAGCACTGCCATCCTGGGCAAAAGGCACCCCAACGACTCCCATTCCACATGTAACTTCCGACACAGCCAGACAAGCCAAGACGTTTTAAGTTTTCTTCCAACAAGGTAGGAAGAAATGAATATTGACAACACATCAAGGATTTAATAAAATATTGCCTGTGTAAAGAAGAACTTCTTTTTCCATTGCTGCTATCCTACCTCCTGCCAAAAGGTCCTTTAGTTTTCAGCAATTTTATCTTTAACCTGATCCCAATGCTTTACATTTTCACGAGTTTGGACAAGTGACCATTTTCTTCCTGAAATGACTTACCTTCGCTCATGCAGAACACCCGGAGAAAAGCCAGCAGCTGGGCAGAGATGGGCGGCTCCGTGAAGTGCAGGGCGAACACGCTGGACCTGCGGGGCAGGAAGGTCAGTCACCTGCTGGCTCCAGAGAAGCCCTCCGCTGCATCCCTGGCCGCCCTCAGGAGCGGGCAGCTCCTCGCGACCACTACGAAAGCCCCTGGCATGGGGGAGGCCGCTGACCCACAAGACAGCGTGACTGTCTCTGCTGGCCGTTCTTACATTCTAACAGGCTAACCGCAGGTTGCATACAACACCCTAAGAGAATTAAGCATACCTGTGGTTCCTAAAAAATGTTAACAATAATTTATGTTGAGTTCACATTTTAATCATGAATCAAATATTGACAAGTTCAATGAAAAAAGGCCTGGATAATCCATTTTCATTAAGAATGGTTCCTCCGTTCCCCAGAGAACTAATGAATCATAATGCTTGTCCTCTTTATCATTTTGCACCTCCAACGCACTAAAATCTTAAAGAATTTAAGTAGGAATTCTTGAAATCGCTGAGGATCACGACTTCATTACAGAAACTAATGGTGGCAAAGAATTAAATGAAACAAAATGATCCAGGTCATTAACCTTTTCAAGGTGAAAGACATTAATGATAGCAAAGTAGTTATTTAACTCGATGAGGATTTCAGGCCACATGCCCTGGAACTGCCTGGGAGGCTCCCAGTGACACCATTGTGTTTACGGAGGCGCTGGGATCCCACCAGGCAGCTCTATGGGTAGACTGCTGTGCAGCGGGGATAAAGGGATTAAGGCCAACTGCAGAGAAGCTCCGTTAGCACACATTAAGCAGCGGTAAGCGTTTCAAGCAGCACAGCAAAGAGCGGGCCAGTTTTTTACGTACGTGGGGATGCCGGCGCGGGCCAACACCTCGGCCTTCATCGCGTAGAGCCTGTCACTTTTACTCACTCCAAGCTTTATTTTCACTCTGTCGTGTGAATTATTGTCAAAGAAAAAACCACTGTGGATCACAAACTCTGCATTTGACCGAGTGCCATAAAAAATGTAAATCTGAGATGCAGCAAAGAAAAAATAAGGGACATAAAAGAAACTTAACATCAATTCTTAACACAGAGCATGGCAAAAAGGATCAGTTCTCGTACACCTAACAGACTGTACTCTAAGGCAACGGGGCAGACCTGCACTGACTTGGGTCCTATTCTGTAACCACCTGTGCTAGCGGGAGTTTCGGCAAGGGGTGCAGTTTCCTCAACTCCCCAACCTTCCGGGAGGCCAGAGCCTCACTTCCGCCACCCCAGGCCTCCCTGCACAGGAGCCAGGCCTTCCTCACAGTCCTGCCCCCTGGGGAAATAGGACCATTACTTCACCAACGCCCTCCACATTCACCACGCTCCTCCCCTGCTTTCAGTACAAGACCACTCTAATGGAGTGAGTTTAAACAATGTCTGCCAGAAAGTCCTATGGCAATTCTAACCTAGCAGGTTTCTGCAAAGAGCAGATCAGTACTTTGTTGGACAAATAGTCTTCATTTTGTCTCAATTGAATGTCAATGATCTACATCAGTCCTGTTTTTTTTTTGTTTTGTTTTGTTTTTTGTATTATCTACTTGGTCATAAGACCAGTAGATAGTATGAAGTTATTTGCAGGTGCCTATTTTCAAATCTTACTGGAAGGTTTAATCCTGCCCATATTATTAAATAAAAATTCACAGATTAAAGTACAAGAAGATAGATTTTGTAGTTCCTTTATGTTTTTATCAAATAGTCTTAACGGTTCTAGTCAACAGAAAAAAAAAACAATGAAGTTTATAAACTGAAGAATCTGTTCACTGTCATAACACAAAGTTTGTTTTCAGTTGACAACTTTGCAAATATTAGGTCAATTGTGCAAATAACTTCATTTAAGTCTTTTTGTTGTTGTAGATGCAAAGGTCTGATGTAAATCAGCTTTATGCGTTCCCAAACAATCCTCAGTAGAAGTCACCCGTTTTTCTGCCCGACCCAGCATGAGCTCAGTGCCCACTGGTCCGCCCCCACTCTGGCAGCCGGGCCTACCTGTTCTCCAGCCCGGAAGTCCTGCAGAGCCACACACTCACAGCGGTCGTCCTCCAGGTTGTACCCAGTGGTGATCTGGGGGGACAAGAGGGTTTTTCAATCAGAAGGGTCTTTTTTGGGCCAGTAGAGAATAAAAGCTACCCACAGCTACTTAAAAGGGTGCACTGTGCATGCTTTATAAAACTGAGCAAAGAACTAACTCCATGGTTATTTTAAATTAATACTATTTACACCAGAAATTCTTATGAAAGATTCTATACTTGAAAGACGTACTCTTAGGAAAATATATTCACCTAGAGGCCCAGCACACAAAATTTGTATGCGGTACAGTCCCTAGGCGTGGCCTGCAATCAGGGCCATCTTCCTCAGCTGCCTGCAGCCGGCCCCGCCCCCTACCACCACCCATCCCCTGGTTTTCCAGTGATCAGTGCCTGATGGCCAGGGATCGGGGAAGCAAGGGGAGGGGGCTGAGAGGTTGGCTGTTCCCGCCCTGGCCCTGGTGTGGGTAGCCATCAGGCAATCGGAGCCTGCTGGCTGGGGAAAGAGACCAAGAGGTGGTCAGTGCATCTCATAGTGACTGGTCTAGTGGTTGTTCTGCCATTAGGGTCAATTTGCATATTACCCTTTTATTATATAGGATAGATTATCACTTGGTCTAAAAAAACAAACAGACCCATTTATTACAAAGTTCCTGTCTTGGGCCTGGCCCCCAGGGCCAATGCTATGGCTTTAGAAGCTTGGATAACTCCATTGACTTGCAAATACTGTCTCTACCTAATGTCTGGCTTTTATGAAACTTAAGTGGGTTTTCCATAGAGAAAGAATAAGGGAAAAAGTAAAGCTCCATTTCTAACTTATGGGCATAATTTACTCTGAAATTAGAGAAATTAAAATGTTCAAGTAAGCACAGGAGAAACAACTTAGTTGTACCCTATTCACTTTCTGCTAAGAGCTGCCTTATGAGAGTTCCTAAGCCCATTACAGATAAATACCAAACCCGCATCTCCCCTTAATCCCTGGGAGGGGGGTCAGGCAACGCCAAGGCCTAGGCCTCATGCCAACAAGGCCGTGTGTTTGACATGCTTGGTCTCGGCACTCAAGTCATAAAGAACTCTGCCCACCTCAGGGGGCGGCATTGTGTTTTCTAATTTTTCTAGAGTGTTTCCTCCTGGGTCAGGCCCCTCCCTGCATGACTGAGGGCCCAGTTTTGTTTGCAAAACCTTCCAAGAGGCCCCCAATTCCAGGCCTGTCCTCCTGCAGCCCGAGCAACGGCACAGTGATGCCTTCCGTCCAAAACTTTCAGTATTCCAGTCGCCTATGGAGCCTCCTATATGCCACTGACCTGCCACACCAGCCACCCTCATGCTGGGAACTACCCTCTGCTCCTGTTCCTCCAGAGACCCACCCCAGCCTCCTCTGCACCCCGACCCCCACCACCCACAGCAGGCACTTACCTGCATGTCGGCCCAGCCAGTGTCTGGGGGCTCAGCACGCTGCACCTAATACCTGACCCTGCCTTTGAGAATCCTTCCTTGATGCACAAACCCCAGGCAGAAGAACAGGGCCTTTTTGAGAGGCTGTCCCTCCCCCACCCTAGACTGTCTGTAAAGACTCATTAATTACTTTTGAACTCTTCATTTTGCCCTAGAGAATCAAAATTCAAGGCAAACAAGTGTTACTTGCTAAAAAAGGTACCAACAGTTTGGGTCCAAAATATAAACACCTTGAGTCTAGGGATCAAAGACCATGTGACACTAACTGTTAAACTCAACACCCCCGAAGCAATGGGTATCTACCCAGTATCTAGAAGTCCTCCACACTGCTGCAAGACCAACAGGAACAGGAAAGCCATGAGAAATAAACGAAGCCAGGTATTCTGGCAGAAGAGCTCCATGAAGTTCCTACTCAACATTGAAATAACATTTTGACCCCAAACACGACTTTGACAATAAGGTATGGGTAAGAACTGCTGACCAATTCCATCCCTGAAGGTCTGGAACTCCAGTGTGGCCACACAAGGATGCCACAGGGCGAAGAGACAGGAAGGCAGTCAGGGAAAGCAGGAGGGACAGAGGAAGGGAACAAGGAAGTGGGAAAGGCCAACAACGCATAAAAACGAGCAGGTCGAAATGCAGAGAAATAGGACAGGAAGGGAGGCTTATGGAAGGGGCGCAAGATGATCTTGGGCAGGGTGCTGGGGACAGCCTCGCTTGAGGAGGGCTGGGAGGAGGCCTGGAGTCAGCCCAGGACAGTGGTACAGGCAGAGGAAACAGCAGGTGCTGAGGAACCACAGGGGACTGGGCCTGTGGGAGGGCATGTAATGGGGACAGGTCTCTGCTACTGGGAAAACGTGGGCTTTTACTGGAAGACTCATGTGAATCTAAATGTTGTAGATTTTTCAAGTCAAACAGAAAGACCCTGAGAAAGAGCTTCTCTCAATTCTGCGTGAGTTTCAAGGCTCCTACACCTTCACTGCAGTCACACATTCAAACGGTCAGGCCGATTACCCCAACACAGTACCCCCCGGAGCTCACACAGTGGCCTGCGCCCCACACAGCAGTGTGCTTCTCTGTAAATTCAACAATCTCCAGACAGGAAACCTGCTGCTTCATGAATTCCGAACAAGACACGCTGCAGTTAAAGACATATTATCTCTCACAGCTTAAAACCACGTCTCATACACTCGGTGAATGTTTCTGCGAGTGGCCAGAATCAGTTCATGCTCACAGAGCCTGTGGCTGGGAGATCTGACCAGCCTTCATCTCCTCCTGCTCCCTGTGCTCCTCACTGCACCACTGCTTCCTGAGCAGGTTTGGAGACGTTGTTGGAAGCACACAGCGTTGCTGGGTTACAAATTTCTGTCTACTCCCTCAATGACAGTCAGAACAGACAGACACCAACTGTCAGGATCGACACACACAGAAGAAAATCTACTGTCTGAAAAGCCAGCCTTAACTTCAAGTACCTTTTAAAAAGAGATTAGCTGCTAATACATAGCATACACAGTTTTGCAGTGTTAAAATAGATTCTTAAATTCTACCAGATGAAATTTCCCACCAGGGTGCACAATTACAATGAAAACAGCTCCACAAAGGGATAGGTTAACCGTAAGAAAGGTTAACGTGGTGGTGGGTAAACCTGAAGGTGAGCAATGTTTTTGCCAGGACTGTGGAGAGTTGAAGATGGTATTTAGAAAAAAAAACAAAACAGCATGAATAGTTGTCATCAATGAGTTATTTTTGTTTCGAGACAATCTAATTTTTTCTTTACTTTTCGAGAGAAAAGTGAATAGTTTAACCCGTTTACACGAAAGCAACATAAAAACCAGTGTGTGCGGGAGTGTGTGAGTGTGCACATGCGCAGTGAAGGTTGGGAGAGATGCACAGGAAGCCCTCACCGGTAACCTGGGAGGCCCTGGGCAGGGGCCCTGGTGCTTCTGGACTGTTTTAACTGGTTTTGTATGTTTACAATAAAGAGTACTTTTAAAATTTTAGATATAAAAAAAACCCGTAATGATCAATCAAGTTTGGGAAATAATTATCTAATCCAAAATAAAGAAAAAGGAAAAAGAAAAATACTATAGTCAAATATTAAAAGTTATTAGAAAATATTAAAACTTCAGTATTATGATCAGTTTAAAACAGCTCTGAAGGGAAAGTAAATTCAGAACCAAGAATGTAAAGTATTATTCATTAATGAAAATAAATGGTAAAGCATGCTACTATTCCTCAAAATGGCTAATAGATATTAAGTATATATAAATTAAGGCAAAAATGTAAGTGTAAAGGTGGGACTACTTTGCTATAATTTCAGAGCGTATTTGTAGCTAGACCTTCTCAGGTCAGCAGGAGGGTATACGATTTTACACATGCACTGGCTGTTTTGTGAAATTAAATATGAAATACTCATTTACAGCATTTTCCCATTCTATTTATAATACTCCTAATGATAACAAAAAAGATGACATGAAAAAAAATTAACCAAACCAGTATACCAGTATAAGGCTTAAAAATGCAGACTATTCTGAAGTTGATCCTATTTCGATGCTATAACATCAGGAACTCTTTCTCAGACACCCATCTCTCAGCAGAGCAGTCAACCTCACTGTTACTTGAAATCCAGAGAATGCTGAGAAGCACAGAGCAGCTTCCTCCTTCTGTGCATCGTAATTAACAATCGTCATAAAATTTCCGTTTTCTTCGGTCTGATAACACCAAATGAGTCCTTCAGCCAAGGCACCCCCGCCCCAGCACCAGGAATCCAGCCCCAGCTCCCAAACAAAAGCAGCTTAATAATTGGGGCCAAGGATGTGTCAGGGTGTCAGGTGAAGGGAGGGCAGGAAGGAGCCACAGAACCATACATAAACTGGAGTCCCGTCAGCAAAGGAAGCAAACAAGGAGCATAAAAGGGAAACAAGAAAGGTTTTTCAAAAAATCGGCATTTTAAAAAGAATAAGAAGACAAAAACTCGGTTTAGCCTGTGGTTCAATAACGTAGGAAAATTAAGGGTTAGGCTGGAATGATGGCTTCACAAATAAATGCAGTTCACTGCGGCTTTCAAAAGTGATGTCAGATTCAAGTTCCCGGTCGGTGCTCGGATTAAGAAGCACAAGGAGAGAAAAACACCAGCTTCTGTTTGTGGGCAGCGGGAGGGGTGTCTGCTCCCTTTGGAGGAGGCAATGGGGGAGGGGGGGAATGGTTTGTAGGTGGAATGCCCACTTTCAAATTTAACCACAATGGCTTCCCTGATTAAGCACAACACCGTGGAGGTCATTACCAGGCCATTGGTGTGATTGCACATGTCCCACAGAGGAATGAGAGCCAGGGTCACCCGGGAACCGTCCTCCGTGGGAATCTGGTTTTGTCGTGTCATCACAGAAGAGACTGCCCACCTGTACGAAGCAGAGAAAAGGTGATTAGGGTCAGGACACCTGAAAGCCCATCAAGTAAAAACCTGAGCAGAAGCTGAGGCTTGCCTGACTGCTCCCCTCTCTGTAAAAGCCTTCCTAAGTGACAGGGGGGCTTCCTCCTCGGCATTTAACATTAACCCTGGGGCTGAGAGCAGGAAGGGGCGGTGGAAGGAAAGGGAGCAGCGGGGAGTCTAGGAGTGAGCTACTAAGGCAGAATGTCCCCACCAAGTCCGAGGCCTGGAAGGAGACCCTGGAGGAGGGCCCAGAAAAGTTCTCCCGCCCTGGGCCTTCTCTGCCCCATCAAGACGAGCCCCGCCCTCTTTTACCCAATGCTGAGTCTCTACCTATGTGAAGCCTCAGTGAAAAGCAAATAATATAACTTTTTTTTTATCATCAGAAATTCTTTAAGAATGCTACAAAATGTGGAGTGCTGGTTTTTATTATATTGTGCAGTGAATTAAATCATTTGTTCTAAACAAAGCCCAAACTATACACCAAAACAGTCTTTTTAAAAAGAAAAAAATTCTCACGACCACCCAAGTATATCACTTGGCTGCCTCAACTAATCCCCCACCATTACAGGTGAATGGCAATTTCTCCTTGGCTATTAAAACGCTGACACCGGTCCCAGCTGTCATCATAACTTCTGAAAAGACGGTCTCTGCGTTGAGGTTTTAAATGGCCACACAGGTCACTTCTTGCTGAAGCATTTCTCACTTCTCAGAGCCCAAACACACACTTAGAAACCACCCCCAACACACACACACCATACCAACCTGTAGTCCTCGTAAGTGAAAGAATCCTTCAAGGGCAGTTTGTTGGCATGAGGATGGGTCTGGGAATTAGAAGTTTTAGAAAGAAGAGGTGAGAAGAGAAAGGGAAAACAGAAATCAGTCAGCAGAATTTCATTATTTAGCTGCCTAACAGATCCTAACAAGAGCCAAATGAAGCAGGAGGCGTCCAGCCGCTGCTGAGGGATCATCATGCTATTATGCTCTCATACATCACTGTCAACTTAATTTGTTGTGCCCAGCAGCCGCCATAAATCTGCTTTTTCCTCCTTCCATACCAGAACCCATGGACATGGCAGAAAAATAAAATTTAAGGTGGACTGACTTCACAAAAGGTAGGCACGCCCACTCGACAGAAACCTGGAGCCCACCAAGTCCAGCGTCCAGCGTGCGGACTCCCTTTGTGCCTTGTGCCATAATGTGCTGCACGGCCCTTATGTCTAGATTTCAAATCTTCCCTTACATCAATAAAAGGGACAATTAAAGGCACTCTAATAAATGGAAAGTTCTTTCATTTATCTCTGACTTAAATCATTTGGATGGGAATCAACGTGCTATGTGCAAATGAATCTTCTACATGGTAAATGTGGCTCCAGGACAGAAAACCAGGAAAACACAGTTTTGTGAAATTACAAAATAAATTTTACAAACACATTTCTTTCTTTCTTTTTTAAAAAAAATAGAGATCGCATATTTAAATTTTACTACTTATTTTTCTGGGCAAAAGAACATTTGGTAAAAATATCCAAAACTTCACACTTACGAGAAAATTTTATATATTTCATATTTTCTCTTCACAACACTCCCCTCCTCTGCACCTTAGACCTAGCAAGCACTTAAAAACTTTGTTTCAATTAAGAAATTAAAAGCTGTATCAGTATCATTTTAATCTTCAGTTTCAATTACAGTCTGATAGACAGATTGCAGTAAGTGATCAAATGAACAAATGGTGATTTCTGAGATACAAATGAAATTCTGCTGTTCTGTGTCTGCACCACTGTTAATGCATGAAGCTCCATGTAGCACACAGTTTTTACTCTTGACGCATTAGCATCACAAGTGCACAGTAATTTATCATCGCTCACTGTAATGTACTCGCTGGCACCGTTTGCAGGACAGTAGGGGATGAGGTAAAAGTGGCTCAAACCGTAAATCAATTAGAAAACAAAAGCTTGTGCTCAGTGCGCAATTTTAGGCAAATTATATATTACAAAAGGCTGCCAATTGGGTGTTAGCTCCCAGGTGCCCGCAGCTCCCCTCTAATCCCTAACCCAGTTTTAACCCTTTGGAAGGAAAGTCACATATAAAAATAGTCATGCAGTTTTTAAGTGTTGTAATAAAAATGAAATTAAGAAGTTTTAAGCCAATACATAAAATAACGTGCTGCCCTGGGCATTTTCTAATTCCCCCAGGAATATCAGGAAAGCCTATCTTTGGGATTAAAAAGATAAATGTGTGCTCTGGTTTCTCTTCAGATCGCATAATCTTTTGCCTTTTACTGAAAAGATTGATGCCATGGTCAACCAACTAAGGTGGGAGAACCCAAGAGACGGATCGGAGCGTCTTACTTCCTCTTCTTGCAACAACGACATGCATGGCTCTGCCCTGAGTCTGGAAGACGTTTTCCACTGAATTACAAAGCCTAATCACAGCAGGGCTCGGGCTTTTTCTCACACAAGTACAAGCTCGGCAAGAAGAACTATCCCTCTTTCCAAAACTAATTTGATGATTAAAAGCACCAAAGAAAACCTCAGAAATTCTGTGGCTGAAATTTCCTTTTGCTTACAATGAAATAAAGCCTCCTATCCCCGGCACATCCCACCTCTTTTCAAACTCCAGGAGGTGAAAAGCATTGTTGCCTTTCTTACTTTAAAATATTTTAATTCATTTAAACTGTGGAATGCACTATGGTATTTTGAAAGTTGGTAAATTCCAATGCTAAACCCCATAAGTATTCAAAAATTTGATTCCACCCCCCTTCCCCAAAAGTTCGGCTTATTAAATAGGAGGGAAAAAACGAAAATTCTCAAAACTGGAATGCTTTGCTGTCAAAACGACTTGAAAAAGAATCTCCCGATACTCGACACTAGAACATCTTAAATAGCTTCGGACGATACAGAAACCATTCAAATGACAGCAACCTCCTTAAAGATGAAAAAGACAAAGCATTCACTCTACAAAATGTTCCCCTTCCTTTGTATCCATTTCTTACCAAAAATATAAGTTCATGCTCACAGTCCTGATGAAGTTGTAAAGAAAACTCAAGAAAAATGCACAAATGCTTTCTTCAGATTAAGAATATTTTGGCTGGGGGGTTATGTAATATCTCCAGAATCTGTCAGAAATAGCTGTTCTTATCTGCTTAAAAAAATACAGTGTGCCTACTGCACATAATTCTGGTCGAAAAAGCTACCACCACAGACGCATGAACCTAACAGTTACACTGAAGCAAAATGTGACAGGACCGAGAAGGCGAATCACTCCCACTTCACCAGGGCTCTCACTACTGTGGCGCGATCGCCACCTACTGGTGTCAGGGTGCACAGGTGGCAGTCACACCAGGGCAAGGCTTTATCTAGCATGGCGAGGCTTTAGCTTTACTCCAGCAAATGTTTCCAAAACACCTCCTCTACCTCTTAAAATTATTACATAATAGTTTGTTACAAGGATCTTTAAACAAGGAAATATTAACAATTATTTGCATATGGAAAACATTTAGCTCCGAAAAGAAATATTTTCACATATCCTGAAAAAAATGAACAATAAGAAAAATGTCTATTCCAAACCACTCTTTGTTGAAGCTCTGGAGAGTGATATATTTTAAAACACTGGACAGAATGATACTGTTGTTGTTGTTGCTTAGAAACCAAGCCTGTGGTAGACCAAGTTAAGGTTTAAAAATATGTCTTGTGAAAACTGTAATCTTAACCTGAAGTTACTTGATAGTTCCTAAAATGTTCCTAGATGCCAGTATTTAAGCTCACACTTTAAGGAAGAACAACTGATTATTCCTTATTTTCTAGAGCAAAATCCTGTAAGGATTTTGTTTATCATGATATACCTTCTCCAGTAGAAGGTATTATTAACCTGTACTTCAAAAATAAACATATAAATTAAAACAGAAAGCTTACTCTCCATGGCCAGTTAGCTGGACAGCTGTGATACAGAGGGGTGCAGAGGGGGTGTCTGGCCAGCTGGGGCGCCAGTGAAGGAGAGATCTTGGGGTCTGCCCCAGCAAATCCCCTCCACTCCTCACACACAGGATGAGAAACCAGCCATGGATTGTCTACGGCTTTTTAAGCGATTGGTAGTTTCACTTTCTTGAGCATTATAAGTATTTGCACTTGGAGAAATTGACAATTGCCATAGCTCATAATCAGCTTAAAGAGTTTGCTTTTAAGAGGGCCTCATTTTCTGTGCCCAGGCAGGCGCCCCAGTGAAGCCCTCCCCACGCCCTTCTCTAGGAGGGATGCAGATGAGGCACAGTAATATTGTACCTGGTACAAAATAATCACTATGTTTGGGAAAGATTAATATCTAAAATCATTTGTTTGGCTTCAATAAAAAGAAGTAATATTGCTAAATATGTAAGTATGACATTTTGAAGAATTTACCATATTGCATGGGTCTGGTAGCTATGCTTAAGGAAATTAAAAAGCACTACAGTCAGCATATTTGATCCTTATTAAAGTTCTGTCTTGAACTATCACTCACATAAAACAAAAATAAACCGAGAAGAAATTTACATAAAACCTATGGATTACAAGAGTTTGAAGATGAAAAAACGAACAATATTCTGGCTTTAAAAAATTGATTTAGCATGCAGCTTCTCTTCATAGTCCCTTGATAAAAATGAAATCTCCCTAACAAACACTTAATAAAACCTGTCAATATCTCTGGAAAGAAAAATGACACAAATGCATTAAGTATTAAATACCCTTGGAAAAAGTCACATATTCCATGAATTTTTGATGTACTATCTTGACATTAATGTAAAACCTTGATATTTATAATTGACAGATATTTAATAAAGTATAAAAGAAGATGGCTGCTCTGCAGCATGCAAATTTTCCAGATTGATCAGAAATGAGAGATACAGACATGTACTTAAACTAAATAAACAGTTAATATGTGTTACGCGGATCAGCTGCAGTCTTATTTTAAGCTCAGACAACAAACCTTTGTGGGAACCCAAAATAAGCAGAATTCATTATTATGTGAATTCTGATTTAGAAACATCTAGATGTGGAAGAGCTTTGAAACATTAACTGTTCCAGGAACAAAACACATTCGATTTATAAAGTTGTGGTTTTTTTTTAGCATCTTTTGAATAATAAAAATACACACAAATATATAAAGGTATTTCCCAAAATAATTCTCAAAAGAAACACATATTAACCTAAACAAAGCTTCAAAATTCTTCAAGGGGGAAGGGGTAAAGAGGATTAGAACACACAAACGGCCTCTAAGCACACACACTTCCCATCGAATACTCACTCATTTCCACCTAGACTGTCTGTCTTACAGAGAAACCAAGCTGAATACATTTAATAATCACCCTCAATGAGGCATTTAAATATACTAAAAAGAAAGTGGCTCAGTTCATAAAAATGACTCCTAAATACTGTATTTAAAAGAATTTATAGCCTGCTGGAATATATAATCAATTGCTAATTTCAACACTACATACAGTAGTTCAGTGACTCAGTAATGGCTCTACAGCACATGTGTCAAACACAAGGCCCGCGGGCCTGCACTCTGCTGCGTTTCCATCACAATGACAGTTTGACTGTTCAGTAAACCATTCGGCCCGCGATTTAGGCTGGATTTTAGATTTTGGCCCCTTCTCTGATTGAGTTCGACACCCCTACTCTACAGTATCAGGAATGACAAAACTGTACCTAGTTTGTTCTAACAAAAAAACATTACAGTAAGTATGCAATTAAAATGTTCTAATTAAAACATGTCTTAGACTGTATTTGGCCTCTCTCCTTAAGCATACGTTAAAAGGAACAGTTGGGTTAACTAACTACCGTGTTTTCCC